ACTAGGCCAAGCAAGCCGGAGTGTCTCCAGTTACAGTGTTATCTCTTCCTCGGCAAGCATCTGATCATCTTTCTTTCTCTAAGTGTTGATTTGTGACATGCAATCTAAACCCTACATGATAGACTTGTATGACCCTACAAGTCATAACTGTGCATACTACGCTTTTACTTTATCTGTGAATCTTTCATTTTATCATCACTCTTGCTTGTATATTCAGATGATATCTGCAAAATAAAAAAAAGAGACTATAAAGACTAATGAAGACAGAATAGCTTTGTGCAAAATTACCGTAATACATAGTGCCTTTATGGTATTTACTGATTTATCATTCCAGATTCACCAAACCCCACTCCTCTTGTAGGAGGAGGAGGAGGAGGTGAGAGGGCAGAGGGAGGCCAAGAGGAGAGGCAAGTTGTCCGGGAACTGTGGTTCATTGTAGTGATGGCAGGCATTGCCCTACTGCTGCTCGCCATCGTGCTAGCTGTTGTGCTTCATAAGGTAAGATACAGCATCTGTGTTACTGTGTGTGAATGGTGGCAGACTGATTTTACTAATTGCTCTTTCCATTATTAATAAAAACGTGCATAAACTGCACGATAGACAACTGGGGCAATCATTGCAACCATTAGAAAGCAGCTTAAACCAAACTTTCCATTCCCGCTCTTCATCATGGCCTAGGCCCTGAACAAACCCCCATTCAGCAGAGAGAGACCTCCATTGGTGGCCCTGCCCATGCAGAAGAGGAGTCCCATGGCTATCTACCCACCCAGCAACTCTATGTTGGTGAGGGGAGATCTACTCTAGTTTCTTTTTGTCTTATCGCTTATTCAACATTTCACTTACAATTTGTAAGTGAAACTGTACGTGTCTCAGTAACCACTGGTTACTGACTGCAGCTAGCTAGCTGTGTTTGACTTATTCACCAGGGGTCACCAAGGCACCTAATATTTATATTATGAATGACACTCATGACTTTTCCTGATTAGACTTTTTGCCAGTACAACTGTATATACTACTATACTACACTATAGTGTGATATACTATATATTTTATGCTATAGTATATGATATGCATTTCGTTGCCCTGTACCTGTGCATGTGACAATAAAGTTGAATTCTATTCTATTCTATATTGTTTAGTTTCTATACTATATTACACTATACTATACGTTTTGTACTATAGTATGCTATGTTATGCTATAGTATATTACATTGTTTATTCTCTATACCAGCGGTGCCCAGCCTTTTTGGGCCATGAACCAGTTTATGTCCGACAATATTTTCCGGCCTTTAAGGTGTCGCGGATAAATACAACAAAATAAAACCACTACCAGTACCAAAAAAAAGAGGAAGATTTAATGATAACACATGGGAAAAGACCCAGGGAAACTGAGTTAACGATAAAAACGATAAAAAAATTAATGATAAAAATGATAAAAACCCTTAAAACCATACATATGTATGTAAAACCATACATATGTATGTAAAACCATACATACGGTATAAGATCATTTTAAGTGTGATGAAAAGTGAATATTATATTTAAATACAGATGTGGATTTATATACATTTCTTAGATAATAAAATGTGGGCTGTTGCGAACATAAACTTTGAATAGAACTGATGGGCAATCAATACTACTATATTTTCCAAGGACGTATGCCATGCTGTCTGAGTTATTACCAGCATACACCACTCAAATTTAGTTGATGGGTAACATTTGAGTGTTTCCTTAGTATTTATTCTTAGTAGTTTCTCTGCTTAACTTTATTATTACCAATTTATTAAAGAGGTTACTGTGTTATAAATTACAATGTATTAAGAAGGAGACTATTTAGCAAATAAGAAAGGATTGCTAGTATTTGTAGCCCATAAAATACATTTATTACATTACTCTCAACTGAAAAATCCTCTCATTCATTTCCCCCAGTTTGATACTGTACCTGACACAACAGGCTTCTCTAACAGTGTAACGCTCAAGGCCTTCACCATGAAGATGGAGGTAAAAGCAAATGTCTAATCTACATATACGAATACATTTTTATTCTATATGCAAGTGATACTTAGAACTTTTTCTGTCTTACCAGGAAGTGCTGGAAGCTAAATGTGAGCCTGGAGATGAGGATCCTCCACAGGGTGAGTTGGGCATCCTCAGTGTGAACTCCCTGAGGCGCAGCGTCAGCCAGGTGATGGATGGGAAGTCACTCACTGGAGACGATGACGTGTGGGATCCCAACATTTCAGGCCATGACAGTGGGATGGTGAGAGATCCCAAAAACGTATGCTGTGCCTGTTTAAACTGGAAGCACTAAAGGCCTTTTGCTACAGTCACAGCAGAGGAATGTAGTATGTTATATACTGCTAACCTATGACCTTCTCACTCTGCACATTCTTTACATTTGTCCACAGAACTGTAGGTATTTAAACACTCACAGGAGAGACAGACTTGCTTAATAAGAAAAAAACATATCACTGGAAATATGACTATTTCCTTTAATAATCTCCATTCTTCTTCTACAGTTTATGGATGATGAAGAATTTGTTGATACAATCAAAGGTTTCAGCACAGTGAGGAAGGAGCACACCATGTTCACCGACACTAACCTGTGACCTGGCGGCAGGGCCGGCAACATCCTGAACAAGACTTAAAATGCTTAAATCCACCCATTTTCATGTTCAGCTAAAGCGTCATAGCAGCTGGCTAACAGTCCTCCCAAGATGAGCCACAGCTGCAGTAAAGAGGGGGGGTGGGGAAGTAAGAGGAGCCCAATGGGATTCGTGACAAGAACAGTGGAATAACTCTGTGAAGGAAGGAGAAGGGAACTGTTCTGACATTCAAACATTACAGAGTGGAAGGTGGAAGCAGCTGCTTGTGTGGAAGGAAAACTAGGACACGTCGGACATCACCACTGGACACACAGAATTAAAGAGAGAAAAAAATCAAAGATACAGACACATACGTTTGTTAAGCTTTCCTGCCATTTTCTGCTGTAAACCCTTTGAAGTCATGCTGTATTTGGATGCTCTGTTAAAAAAATCTCTTATTTAAACCTTGGCATGTTCATTCAACTTTTTATGTCAGTTTTCCCCATATTTATATATCATAAACATATCTCAATTTTTTTTTAAATTAACTTTAACACTTCCAAAGATGAAGTAAAGGAAAAAATATCTGGAATCATTAAGAGAAGCATTACACTATAAGAAGGTTTTTCCTTCCTAGGTTCATTAATTCTTAGTTATTATTAATCTCTGGCTCTCTCCCAGGGCGAGTCTTTTGTTGTGCCTCCCTCCCCTGACCTCCAAACTGGTCATGGCTGATGGCTGCCCCTGGCTGGTTATGTGGGAGATTTCTTTCTGTTAAAAGGGAGTTTTTTTTAATGTGGCCCTGAGAGGCCAAACGGACTGGAACACCAGCAATAAGAAAAACGCTGCAAAAGCACACAAAGCACAATGGAAATAGGAAACACGACAAAAGAAATAGGAAAAAACAGATTTCCAAAAGCACAAGGGAAGTGTTTCTGGGGAGGCTATAAAACGACGGACCAGTTGCAGGAACCCAAAACATTGTAGGTGTGTTTTATCATGATTCATATAATACTGATGACGGATTTTTAGGCTAATAGTTAGGCTAACATTCTGACCTCTCATCTTTTCTTTCTTCACAAAACCGATAGATCCTCCACTTCTTTTAAGTGTCTCCCAGCGCGATTCTTATTGCATATTTTGGTTCCTGCAACTGGTCCGTCGGGTTATTGTCTCCCCAGAAACACTTCCCTTGTGCGTTTGGAAATCTGTTTTTTCCCCCCTCCTATTTCTGTTTTCTTTTCTTTCTTTTCCCCCCCTATTTCCGTTGTGTTTTGTGTGCTTTTTCCTTCCCACTGTCGCCAAGTGCTTGCTCATTGGGTGTCATTTGATTGTAGCGTCTTTACATTCCAATAAAAGCACCTTGAGGCGACCATTGTTATGTTTTAGTGCTAGACTATTTCTTGCAATTCTTTCACAAGCATAAACTCCTGTTTTCTGTTTTCTATATTTCATCCTCATACTTTGACATCTTATGTAGACCCATGGTATTCTTTTTTAAATCTTCCCATTAAGTTTTTACTTCCTCCAGATTTGGGAACAACCAAGGTCTTTTGCCAAAATCTATGTTGGACTGTATAATTCTAACGGCTCTCTCGTTGAGGATGTCTTTCCTTTGAGTCAGCAAAGTGCAACAGCTTGGTGAAGTCTGCAGGAAGTCCATTTTGCATCTTGCATATTTAGGTCTGTAAAGGTATTTGTTTTGGAAATTTAAATGAATAGTTTGTTTTCTTGGAAAAAAAAAATGTAAACGTACAGAAATGTGTTTGGAGGTGTTTCATGAATCCACAATGTTCAGCTATTAAACTGAAACAGGTCTGTAAAATATAATTGACTTGTTTGTTAAAAAGTTGTTTAAAAAAAAAAAAAGAAAAAAAGCTGAATGAACAGCCTCTATTCAGTCATTTTTCACCATTTGGGAGAAAGCTCCGGTCGCCCTGGAAAGAGCTGCTTGCACGTTTGCATGCATTAGAGGGTCGTGATGGAGGAAAACGCTAGACTGTCTTAGTTTTATGACTTTCCCATCTATGTTTTCACAGTGATAACATTAAACTGGTAAATATGAGTCATTCATTTCAGGTGAATTTCATATTTTCCATGAAATCCAAAGCATGATTCCCAGATCAGGCTTCCTCAGCCACACTTCCCGAGTTGCTCAACATCAAGCAAACAGTCATGTGAATAATTTCTACATCATATTGGAAAGTTTTTCAAACTTGACAAAAATGGTCTTCCTTGATATTCAAATACACAGTTTTGACACAGCAGTGACTTAATATGCACTAAAATAATTAGGATGGGACTTTTTACTCTGTTAGACATTTGTGCAAAGATTAGGAAATTACACTTCATATCTGAAAGGTCAAGGTTGGACATGCACAGACCTAACCTGCAAATTAACAGGGAAAACAAGCATGAGGAGGTAACTCTAGTTTTTATTTTGAAATGGGTTGCAATGCAATGAGGGCACAAAACACTTGTACCATTACAGCCAATAATATGGTTACAAAACAAACATTTACATAATAAATTAATATATTGCAGTACCACATGAGACAGTAAACATTAAACCCCAAACTGGGGAATTATATTGCATTAAAAAAATGAGTTATTTGTTAACTGTACAAAGATTTTCAGGCATTTACAAAGGCAGCCTCTTATTTCATTGCTTGTTGTACATATATAAATATAAATCTTTCAATTGGTAGTTGAACTGATATGTCTGCTGAGCAGGCCGGATGAGAGGCTCTGGCCTGAGACGAGATCTTTCAGTGACCTCTGTGCTGACTGCCATGTCATTATAAATCAGTGTTTTATTTACACAGATGGCATTAAAAGCTAGTTTAATTTAAGCACTTTCCTAACCAGATTATGACAAATCAATAGACACCTTTCAAGATATGATTTAAGTATTTCGCTGCCTCTGATTTTAGGACTTCTGATTACTTACCACGAGTTAAAACTATAAAAAAAAAAAACTCTGCTTGTCCCTTTAATCTAATATCCATATGCTCCTAAACAGACAAATCATTAACCATAAGAAATGTGTTTGCAACACTAAAGTGCATGCAGCACATGCTTGGTTGCGAATGTTTTCTTAGCTGGCAAAAGTAGAAACAGGTTACATATAAATAGTCTTAACACAGCACTACAAGCTTTTGACTTCCTTTACAAAATAAATGACCCCCTATTCATTTAAGCAACCGTTTGTGCGGTCCCCGACATTCATCATCTTCATCACTCCCCTTTCCGAGAGCGAGGCGTTCGATTATTACCCAGTAAAAGACAGATGTGTTAACCACAGCTATGCTATTATAAGAAGACCCCTACAACAAGCAGATGCTACTGCAGCCTCTACAGATGTTACCTGCGCTACAGCTGCTGCTATGACTGCAGAGCGTACTACATGATTCTGAGCGGGTTCAGCCGAGTGGCTGCTATGCATGAGAACATTTCTAAGATAGAAGTGCAGCAAGCTCCAAGTCTAGCTGCTAAAAGACGACTCAGGAATGTCAGCAACTTTCTGAGGATGATTTAAACTACTAACACTGATGATCGTACCTGAGAGCTAGACTAGACCTGATCTGACAGTGTGTGGTGCACCTGTAGCGGCTGGTGTTTCGAACGTTAGCGTGCCAACTTGCTGAAGACGCGGTTGGTTTTAGAGGGGCAACTCCTGCCAGTAAGTATTGCACTTCCAGAAAGACTTGGAAGAAAGCCCAGACTTTTAGTCCTAGTGCAGATCCTGAAGGTTTTCTCAAGCCTGGGATGAAATAACCTTGGTGACATCATGTTAAAGGTTCTCCAGATCCGCCGAAGACATTACACAGCAGTTTTGCTTCACCACACACTAATCTACTGAGACGTACTCTGTGCTACGACAGCACACGATCAGATCACTGACGGAGTAAAGTGCTACCACTAAAATTTAACTGCTAAAGATGTAAGAGACTGGTTTAAAAATGCCACAACTAATAACAGATGCTTAACTATTTACCAAATCTGACTTCATTTGAGCTACAACACCAAGCTAACATACAATCAGACAGACTGGTTGCCACTAATGCTGAACTTTACCACATGAGGTATCTGCAGACTCGTGAAATGACACCTCGTGGGGAAGTGATGACACTGGTGGGAATGGGGAGGTTACTACTTGAGGGCTCAGAGGTCAACAGACTAGATTTACAAAATGTTTACAAAGTCCCTTATCTCACTAAAAACATCCCCTTATCCAAAAATATGCTTTACATATTTGTTCATCCAGCTACGACTTTAAGTCTTTCCACTTTTTTTCCCTATTTAAAAAAAAAAAGTTCCCCAAACTGTGCAATTTCTTTCATCATATACAAAATATTTCATCTTAACATTCAGCTAACAGCTACTAACGAGTGCAAACCCTAAAGCAACATGCAACAACATCACTACCTACAGTTTTGCATTTTTAAATTAAAGGGTTTGTTCCTTGATCCTCACCAAGCAGTTTTCAACCTTAAGACGCTGTCATGATGTGCAACCATCAACAAATGCCATTAATGCAATGGATTCCTAACGAGGAAATAACAAAACAAGACTTCATAACACGACTTGCCCGGCACTTTGAGATTCACAGATTCTGCCCGGATTCGTTTTTCCTGTCAGGCATGAACTACACAGATGCAAATTTCACCTCACACAAGCTTGATGACGTTACACGCAGGTTGAACTTTTGTTATTTTCCTGACTGTTCACAACTCTAAAAAAAAAAAAAAAGCCCTGCACAAACCAGGAAGTGAAGTGTTCAGACTAATACTGATTACTGGCATCTATAGACAAGTTATCATGCAGTCAGAACATACATAGAGATGTAGTACTCAAGCATTAAAAAGTTAAAAGTTACATTGGAATATACGAGTCAAGGAGAGTTAAAATCCTAGGATCAACAGAGTTTAAAAAAAAAAGTACCACAAGGAAAGAAAGTCTATGATGTGGAAACTGGGGGCCACTTTGTGGGTTTTTCCTGGATTACCAGAACCCTCTTCTGATGGTCCAGTGGATGGTTCTGGAAACAGGAGTGTCGCCTTTGACCTTACGTGGGACAGAGGACTGTGGAGAGAACAAGAGCAGAAACGCCCTTTACTTTATTTGCACAAAGGAGGGCTGCACATTAGGCAAAAGCAACTACAGCACGGACCCAGTGAGTGAAGAGGAAATGGTAATTACAGGTGAGAAGCACACATGAACAGGTAGGTACCACTACAAGCTCGCAGTAAAGGCAAAATATGGGTGTGCTTTTGTGTTTTAGGAGGAAGTGTAGTGCAGCAAACAAGCACCACAGTAGCGAGGAGGGAGTGAGGGGACGGCTGCTGCTTCTGGGCATAGCTAAGGTCACCAATGCGCACAGAGAGAGAATTGGATCTGTGGTCACCTCTCAAACCTCAGTTTCCACTGCTCTCATACCAGAGCTACCCCCAAAGGACAACGCGGCACAGGTGAAAGACAAAGGAAGTACAGGTCAACACTGAAGGGTGGCAAGGAAACGATTTCTCTTCTCCTTTAATTAACCTTTGTACAGTGGCCTACGTTTCTGCACTCTCAGCTTCCCTAAAAACAAAGAAGGGAACTCTGCGTTTCCCCCC